GACTTTTGACTAAGATTCTGCCTGCTGATTTTGAACATCACCAGGCCTAGACTTTTGACTAAGATTCTGCCAGCTGATTTTGAACATCACCAGGCCTAGAGTTTTGACTAAGATTCTGCCTGCTGATTTTGAACATTACCAGGCCTAGACTTTTGACTAAGATTCTGCCTGCTGATTTTGAACATACCAGGCCTAGACTTTTGACTAAGATTCTGCCAGCTGATTTTGAACATCACAAGGCCTAGACTTTTGACTAAGATTCTGCCAGCTGATTTTGAACAACTGCCAAGATTCCAACGCTTGCCTGTCTCTGACCTGTATTCTGATCATGATTCTGTCTGTACTTGCATGGCTGTTACTGAACATGGTTTGTGACCTGACTCCTTGCTTCTCTTCCAACCTTAGCATCTTCAAATTCAAGCAAGCTGAATCAGCCTCCTTGCTCCTGCACCCTTCCGCTGCCCTAGCAGTCCCTGTCTCCACCATCAGGGGTGCTTGGATGGCAATTGTGCAAGAAGCCACCCTCATCATCTCATGCTCTTCAGCTGAGTACATGACACCAGGATTCTGGTAGTCAGTGGAGGAAAGGAAACATTTGACTTATCGTGCTGCTCTCACCTAGACCTTTTCTTCTATTGTATGCAGTGCTATTAAACACAGTGGGAGCATGGCATGGAGAAGGCTATAGTATAAGAGTATGGTTCAGGCATAGGCTATCCATTTAAACTGGGACTATGCTGAAAAGTAAAGATTTGCTATGTTAGAGGGAATATCTGGGAATGTTAATTGTGCCTGAGCAGAACCCTTAAAAATGTACCTTTTGTCTAGAATTCTCCTTGAAAAAAGTAATGCATTCCTAATATGTGAAGGTGTCCAGGGACTTCACTATCTGCAAGCTCATACTGTAGCTGTTTATCTGCAGTGTGAGATCTAAAGCACTGCTGCCTTGAACTGCTAGTCTAAGATTTTGATGCCACTACTCTGTTGCTCACTGTTCTCCTTGAAATGGGCTTTGATTTGGGGAAGCCAATCTCTGCCTCTACCAAGATGGCCTCCTTCACACAGAGACACAGTGCAGACAATGGAATGGTAAGTCAGTAATGGAGAAAAGATCAGTTGCATGGAGACTAGTCCTTTGCCCTGTGCCTTACTTGACACAACTTAAAGAATTCAGTTCCTCTTTAAGCACTGATTTAGGCAGTGGAAAGAAAGGGAATATTTTCATGAAGTGGACCTGAACACACTAGGCGAAGATTTGCTACTTAAAGTGTTACTAAACCCAGGACCCTGCATTCACTATAACTGGTCTCCCACAGTACACAGAACATGGAAATGCAATTATTCCTGCATATGTTTGTTTCTGGAGTTTTGGAGCGTTTTCACTCTTCACGCATAGGGCAGCCCATTCACTTGATGGATTGCCACACACACAGAAATCGCCCTAGAAAAGCTCCAGTACTTTTTTTGAAGCGGAGTGTGATGCGTTACCACAGTTTTTGGTGTGTTTGCCTTTAACATGTAATGATAACACAAACACGATGCACATTTGCAGCGTGTTTCTGAAATGCATGGCAAAGCGTGCATTTTCTGTGCAGATTGCCATGCATTCAGAAACACACAGATGTGAATGGAGCCTCATTATTCTGTGTAAGCCCACCAATCTCACTTTCAGGCCCCATTCACACCAAGAGTAGAGGGAGTGCATGTTTTTTGGCTTGTTTTTCAGTGACACACATAGGGAAGCCTGTTGATTTCAATGGGCTATGCTGCATGCAAAGTAGCTCATGGGACATTTTGGCATGATGCGTGTTTCACATTTTTTACTGCATGTTTTGCTGCATTTGTCACCCATGGCAAAATGTGTGCATGTTTCTGTGTTTTGTGTTCCATTAACAATCAATTTCACTGAAAGCACAACTAGGTGGCCTATCACTTTACAATCTGATTGTACACTCTCTGTACAATCTCCTTTAGATTTACCAAAACTATAGAATAGGAGGACACAGCATCTATCCAATCACTCAGCCTGAGCCTGTCTGTAGGAACACTAGGGTAGCCAGGAAAATGCATGTGGGGAGAGATCCCAGGGATACTGTGAAAAATAGTTGATGGGTGAAGGGTGTGTACTAATGAGGTCAGTGCAGGATCTAATGCAGATCAGCTAGTAATCTGCTTCCAGGATCCTACTGGCTCCTCTGTCCTCTGTCTACATTCCAGGAAGGTTTTCTAAGAAATTTATCAAGGGATAAGGTAAGGCCTTGCTCTCCAGATCAAAGAGAACGTGACTATTTTTGCAACTGAGGTACATTAATGGTACAGTATACTGGTGCATAGGGGAGCTGAAATTTATTTAAAACAAAAAAGTGAACTTAGCCTTTAAAGTCAATAACTCTACACCAAATTTACTATATGGACCACCTATCTATTTATACATGTTGATCATATCCTCCCGTAATCCCCTCAAGAGAGAATAAATTCAGTTCCTCTAATCTTTCCTCACCGCTGAGCTCCTTCATGCCTCTTACCAGTTTGATTGCCGTTCTCTGTACTTTTTCCAGTTCCCCAATGTTCTTTTTGTGATATTTGTGAACTGCATATTCCAGATGAGGTCTTCCTAATGATTTGTACTGGGGTAAAATGATATCTCTTTCTCTGGAGTCTATACCTCTTTTAATACAAGAGAGGATTTTGCTTGCTTTGGAAACCGCAGCTTGGCATTGCATGATATTATTAAGCTTATGATCTACCAGAACCCCCAGATCCTGTTACTGTACTGTAGTACTTTTAATCCAAGACCCTATATCATTTATACATATATTAAGAAGTAAGGGTCCAAACACTGAACCTTGGGGTACACCACTGACAACCCTAGACTGATCAGAGTATGACTCATTAACCACTACTCTCTGAATACGGTCTTTTAGCCAGTTTTCTGTCCATTTAAACACTGATTTTTCCAAGCCTATAGTCTTTACACATTAGCCGTGTGTGGGGAACTGTGTCAAATGCTTTTGCAAAATCCAAGTATACCACGTCCACCGCCACCCCTCTGTCCAAGGTTTTACATATCTTCTCATAAAATGAAATCAGATTGTTTGTTTGACAACTTCTGTCTTTCATTAACATATTTTTTTCCAGCAAGAACTCATCTATGTGGTCTTTTATTAAACACTCCAGTATCTTCCAGACTACAGAAGTTAAACCAACAAATATATAATTACTTGGTAAAGACTTTGATCCCTTATATAATATTGGCACCACATTGGCCTTACGCCAATCCAGTGGTACTATGCCAGTCATTAAAGAGTCTCTAAATGTTAGAAACAATGGCTTTGAAATAACAGAGCTCAATTATTTTAGGATCCATGGGTGTATGCAACCCGGTCCAGGTGCTTTATTCACCTTTATTCTGTCTAAATATTTTTGTACCATATCAATTTTGAGCCAATGTGGATCATCTGGGGCTGTGTCAATACCATGCCCATTATGGACCAGAGCTCCCCCATGCTCCTTTGTATACACAGAGCTGAAGAAGGTATTTAATAAATTTGCATTCTCTTTGTCCCCAATCACCCACTTCAACTTAATTTGTAAAGAGCCTGCATGCTCAGACCTGAACTTTTTACCTATATATTTCAAAAATTTGTGGGGGGTTTTTCTACTTTCTTTTGCAATCTGTCAATTGTTTTGGATTTTTACATCCTTGATTTCCTTTTTACATATTCTGTTATATTTCTTGTAACAATTTAATGATGATAGTGTTCCTTCTTTTTTTATATTTTTTTAAAAGCTTTTTTCTTACTATTTATAGTTTTTTTTAACTTTGGACGTGAGTCACAAACAGTAGGTTTTTTTTTTTAGCCTTTTATACTTATTACATATGGGAATATATTTTGCAGAGTGTTCACATACAGTCCTTTTTAAGAATTCCCATTCCTGTTCTGTGTCCTTTGATGCCAATATTCCCTCCTAATCTAAGTCTTGGAGAGCAGCTCTCAACCTTGGAAAATTTACTCTCTTAAAGTTGAGTGTCTTTATCTTTCCAGTATGTTTGTTGTTTACAGCTATCAATAAATGAAATCATGTTATGGTCACTGCTACCCAGATGTTCTTTTATATGAACATTAGTAATGAGCTCTGCTTGGTTTGAGATAACCAGGTCCAGCAGAGCATCATTCCTAGTCGGGGATGATGTACTGTATATACCATAAAATTGTCTTGTAATAGGTTTATACATTTTTGCCCTTTATCTGTTCCAGCAGTGCCAATACTTTAATATCAGGATAGTTAAAATCCCCAATTATTAGCACTGTCTCAGCCCTTGCAACCCTTTCCATTAACACTGGGTGGCCTATAACAAACTCCAGTGATTAACTTTGAACTACGCACATCCATATGCAGTTCCATACATAATGCTTCAGCATCCTCACACTCTCCATCAACCAGGTCCTTTTTCACACTTGCTTTGAGATCACTTCTCACATGGAGACAGCAACGCCACCTTTACGTTTTACCCTGTCTTTCCGAAAGAGAACATAGCCAGGAATATTATTGGCCCAGTCATGTAAGGAATGAATCCAAGATTCAGCAATACCAGTTAGTTCTCTTTGTGCACCAAAGCTTGCAACTCACCTATTTTGCTTGGCAGATGTCTGGCATTAGTGAACAAACACTTTAATACATTTTCACATTTTGCTCTTGTAGTCGGAGTTTTCATTCTCCTCTGACTGTCCTATGAGGCTGCATGACCCCTGATTCCCTGTCTGGACAGTGCTGATTGGCCCTGTTCTGATCTCTAGCAATACATACCAAAATAAGCATGTGCAGAGGTTCCCCTAAGGCTCTGTAGTATCAGCAGATGGATTGGGGACCATGGAAGAAAGGAAGGATCATAGAAGACAGGATCAAACAGTCTTGTTACATAATGAGGATGATTAACCCGTTAGCTTTCACCGTGATTATAACAAGCACTGATTTTAATGTTGTGGGTTTAGTAACACTTTGCATTTTGCAAATAGTAGTAGCAGCGCACTCCCTAGCATTTGAGGGTGCCTGGAACTGAACATTTCAGCTGGAAGCTATTCTAGACTCAAGTTACATGCAGCTTGTTTGTTTTGAGTTTCTTAATCAGTAAACTATGACAAAAATTTATTTCTGTGTAGAATAGCATATATACACTCACTGGCCTCTTTATTAGGTGCACCTTGCTAGTGCCAAGAAAATATCCCCCACACCATTATACCACCACCACCATCCTGAACCGTTGATACAAGGCAGGATGGATCCATGCTTTCATAATGTTTACACCAAATTCTGACCCTACCATTTGAATGTCGCAGCTGAAGTTGAATGCCCACTCTCCTCTGACCTCTATCATCAACATGGCATTTTCGTCCACACAACTACGGCTCACTGGATATTTTTTGGACCATTCTCTGTAAACCTTACAGGTGGTTGTGCGTGAAAATTCCAGTAGATCAGCAGTTTTTGAAATGCTCAGACCAGTCTGTCTGGCACCAACAACCATGCCACATTCAAAGTTACTTAAATCCCCTTCCTCCACATTCTGATGCTCGGTTTGAACTACAGCTAGTTGTCTTCACCACATCTAGATGCCTATATGCATTGAATTGCTGCCATGTGATTGGCTGATTAGCAATTTGTGTGTGTATATATATATTTATATATATATATATATTTATAATTTTTTACAGGGCTTCTATATACTCCACTTTAACTCCTGTCATTATGCTAGTATTCATTGTCAAATAACATCACCAGTTAAAATTGTGAGTTCAACTTGTCAGATACCATTTTATCATCTTTCTCTTCTAGGAATCATTCTGACATATAGATGGATACAGATGGTCTATTAGTTTTTCAACACTTGAACATGTATCTTAAAGTCACACATGGCCACAGGCACACATAGACATTAGGCAACCTATATCATACGTATAGTATTAAGGCAGGTTAGGAAATTAATGAGCCCATGTAGTTGATTGCTAACACTGACAGTTCTTCTTTCAAAAACAATTGCATAAAGCCAAATGTAATTGTTACTTGGTCGCCATTCCAGGATTATTTGTTTGGTTTTCTTTCTAGCAGTAGTTGAGTCAGAAAACACTTATTAATCATACTCATATATTCCAATTCACACCACGATCCAGTGAAACAGCCCACTCATGCCCTAATCTTGCTTTTCCTCATCACAAAATCACCTACTTAAATATAAAAAAAGTGAGTTACAATTATTTTGCCTTTTTTGTGCCTTGAGCATGAAATGCAATTTTAAGAAAAGCACATTACCGATGAAACATTTCCAGGATTTATACGATTTGTAAATATTGCATTTTGGATTTTATGAGATATAACCAGCTTTATCATGATTATACTTTCCATAAGCACACAAGATTATTGTTGTACCCTGTATCATTTCTATCTAAATATGTAAGCAAACAGATGTCCATAAGTTAAGGAAAACTGAGCTGAATTTTACTTAAAGTAAACCTGTCACAAATGTGAGCAATTCAAACTAAACATAAAAAAGAGCTTAAAGTAGTCCCGGATTCAAAAAGTGAGGATTTGCTATGTTACAGGGAACATCTAGAAGTGTATTTTGCCTGTGTATACCCTGAATTATCTACCTTCTGTCTTGAAATCCTCCTTGAAAATAGCAGGGCACATTATGCGCCTAGGCACTCTTGTTCCTTGGGCCTAATAGTTCTATAATATTATTATTATTATTAGTATTAAATTATTATTAAGGATTTATGTAGTGCTAATAAATTGCACAATGTTTTACAAAATAAAGGTAGACAGTACCGTTTCAGTGCATTTCAAAACAAGAGGGTTAGGAGGGCTCTATTTATGAGAGCTTACAATCTAAAAGGAAGAGAAAGTGATGCAGAAGGTAATAACTAAGTGGGGATGAGTTATTTGAAAAAACAAAATTCAGTAATTTGCTTCAGACCAGATAGGCTTGCCTGAAGAGATACATTTTCAAGGAATGTCTAAAGGCAGGCACAGTAGAAGATAAACATATAAGTTGGGGTATGGCGTTCCAGATGGGGAATGCTCGGGAGAAGTCCTAGACATGAGTATGGGAGGATGTAATGAGGGATCTAGAGAACAGAAGGTCTTGGGAGGAGTGGAGGGGACAGTTTGGTTGATATTTAGAGACATCGTTGTTACTGAAGGTCGGGGCAGAGTTGTGAGTAGTTATATTATCAGTGTAAGATCATCTAAGGCACTTTGCCTCTGACTGCTAGTGTCACAAAGTTTTGAAAATGTCACTACTGTGTTGCTCACTGTTCTTACTGGAGAGGAAGCTATACCTGAGCACCTGCAGTGCAAGGATCTCCCACTTTCTACAAAATCTGTGGATCAGAGCTTTATGCACTTCTGTTACTTCTAGATCAGATCACCAGTACCAGATATTGCATGAAGAAGAAAAGCCCTGCACCTATACCATGGAGGCTACTTCCACACAGACATAGTGCAGAACAAGACATATTAAGTCAAAAGTGGGGAAAAGATCAGCTTTTAGGCAGGTGCGGTCTGTTTCCTCCACTGTAGGTGGCACTCAACCCGAGAGGTACCACAGCCTAGAGAGATAGTCAGGGGAAACTTGGTTTCTCTATGGCTTCCAGGTCCCTGAATACAGCATTCCGGTTGGTTAAGCTGCATCCAGGCGGCCCCTGGAAGCCATCTTGGGTGAGTAGAGTCTTTATAAGTCCCGGACAGCAGGTTTTTCCCCGCATTTGGGGAGAGGTGAGAGTAGGGAAAGAGCACCCATCTGTCAGGGAAATTGGAAGAATGTAAGAAGGTAAAACAATAAAATCTTGTCAAAAGAGGAATTCAAATGTATCATCAATTATCATCCTATGGTTGCCACCTTTTATGCGTTACCAAAAATACACAAACATCAAACCCAACCGCCTGGCAGACTGATTTTTTTCTGGTAATCAGAACCTTACAGAAAATGCCAGCAAATATATTGATTTTGTTCTACGACCAAACGTATATGAGTTGTCTTCATATATAGAAGACACTTGTCACTTTCACTTTATGAATAGGCTGGAAGGGGTAGTTCTAACTGATGTTTGGTTGGCGAGTTTAGATGTGGAAGCTCTATACAGTAATATTGAACATAAATTGGGGTTATGTGCCTGTGAATACTTCCTACAAAATCATGGTGTACCATACACATACATAATCAGATACTGCTTTTATTTTGAAGCTTTTATGCTTTATTCTTGACCATAATGTCTTCACATTCGATGGCAGAATATACAAACAGATTAGGGGCACCGCAATGGGCACAGCTTATGTTCCCACCTATGCAAACCTTGCTGGTGGGAGCAAATAATTGTGTTTACTGTTGAACTGGAGATCTTTACATCTTGGATACTACTTTGGGCCAGATACATAGATGATATATTCATCTTATGGCAAGGGTTGTACAAACTCTTTCAGGATTTTGTAAAGAAAATTAATACCAATGATATAGGTATGTTTTTCACTAGTGAAATCCATAAAGATAGTATCAGCTTTCTAGACTTGAAAATCACCAGGGAAGATGAAGATAAAATAGTACAACAATATATCGGAAGTCCACTTCTACAAATAGTCTCTTATCTTACACTGGGACAGCCATCATCCCATCCCCTTCAAATGAGGCATCCCCACTAGACAATTCTTAAGAGCAAAAAGAAACTGCTTTCAGAGGAAGCCTTTAGAGCAGAAAGAGTTTGGCTCTTTGAACGGTTTACAAAAAGGGGGTATAAAAGGTCAGACCTTAGGAGATCTTAATATAATGTAAAGAGTACCCCCAGAGAAGCATTATTAGCCCCAAAAAGGGCCAAAGAAGAGGAGGGAGAGATGAGGATCATTTGGACTTATTGTGGGTAGTCTGGCCAAATTATCACCAGTGTAAAAAAAAATTGGCATATACTGTTGATGACAAAGATCTATCAAAGGTGTTACCAAAACCCCCCCTTATTTCCTTATCGGAAAGGGAAAAGTCTGCGTGATATGTTGAACATAGCCACATGGAAAACATATCCAAACCAAACCTACCTGCCAGATAAACTTAAGGGCAGTCAAAAATGTGGCCAATGTAAAGCTTATGCTTATATGCCAAGGGTCAAAGAATACGTAAACCCCAAAAATGGTGAAATCATCACCATCAAATCATTTTTAATTTATAGCACTGAGGGTGTAATCTATGTGGCAAAGTGTCCCTGCCCACGTTTGTATTTGGACAAAACGATTCACCAACTAAGACGTCGGGTATTAGAACATATTAACAACAAAAACTTAAAAAAGGATAGACCAATTACCAGGCACATCTGGGAAAAGCATAATGGCATACCAGAATGTCTGTCTTTTGGGCAGTACAACATGCTAAACTGTGCCCTAGGAAAGGGGATCTGGATAAGATCTTACTTAAATTAGAAGCTAAGTGGATCTTCTGCCTGGATTCATGATCTCTCCACGGTCTGAATGAAGGGTTCACCTTTTCGCCTTTTGTGTGAGGCTAGAGCTCCAGGCATGTGTTTGAATGTTATGTCCTCTTTGTGTATATATATATATATATATATATATATATATATATATATATAAAATATTTTTTATTTATTTTTTTCAGTGACAAGCACATGTAAAAACAAACTATGATGAGTATTACAGGCAGCTAAATATATATGCAGACTTTGACTTTTCCTGTAAAGTCAAGCTTGGCCACACACCTAATGAGGCAGTACAGTGGCTAACTGGGTTTGTTGGTTTAAATCCCAACAACAGCACTACCTGCCTGGAGTTTGCATGTTCTCCCTGTGCCTGTGTGGGTTTCCACCTACAGTCCAAAGACATGCTGCTAGGTTAATTGGTTCCTGTATAAATTGGCCCTAATATGTGTATGTATGAATGTGAGTTAGGGATCTCCTAGGATTGTAAGCTCGTTGGGGGCAGGGACTGATGTGAATGTACAATGTATATGTACATTCTGTGTAAATTGTTGGTACCTATAATAAACAAAAATTCCATAGAAAA